GAATCTACACAAGGTTCAAAGAGAAAACCCGCGGCGAGCCGTGTTTTTGTAGCTGCAACTAATATTTACAGAAAACTTTGTTGGCTGAATTCATTTTGCAACAACTTTTGCTGTGAAGTGCAGATGTGCACGCACAATATGTAAACTGGGATATGTGACGTACCATACTTTCAGATCATCCGCAGTACAAATTAAAAAGTGCCTATAGCCCTGCAGTTCCCGAGAGTCCGTTTCTCTCAGAAAGGTGTGTTTAAAGATTCTCATCAATACACATAGCACTGGAAACCTTTGTCCTTTCTCTCCAACTTTAGAATTGCTGACAATCTTTTAACTCTCTCGCAAGTGAAGTAAACTCGTTATCTTTTTTAATGATGTAGCCCATACATGCCAGATGTGGTGCCTCCACTCCAGTACTGTTAAATGAATGACTCCTCCAGATTTTGGGGAGCACTTGTTCAAACTGTGCATGACAGCCCACACTGCAGGTGTTCTACTGAATATAGATTTTTTGGGAGGGTATCAAACAGCGCTGTAGAAGAAATTTAGAGAAGGGAAAAGGCACATATGTTGTGCCTGTCATTTTCACCTACCTTTCCTTTATGGTGCTAGTAACTTTCTTCCCCATCAGGTAATGTACAACTTTATCCAGTCCAATGCGAATGCAGCCTACACACGAGCTAAACTAATGTGCCCCGGAAAACACAGCCCTAACTTGACATAGAACATTTTGGTACTATTTTGCAACATAAGATTGTCTGACATAGCCACATGCTAAATAATGACCGGAGAAATCAGTCACAAAAAGAAATAATTATATTGAGGATGGTGGAGGTGCAATATTGCTTATCACCTTGGTCTCTGCTGCTTTTATATACTTCCATGCCGACACAAACACATAACTCTGCTTTCTCGAGTTAGTAAGAACTTAATTGTAGTTCAAAAGTGGCAGAGGCTGGATAGAAATAGAGGCTCAGCGAAGTGGCCCCACCTTAAAAACCCCATTAGCAATTTGTCAATTAATCTCTACTCCCCCCTACACGTACCTCTGCCTTGGAGAAGAGTTTCTATGTGTGTGTTTCGTACTACATGGCTAGAGCTGCACAGGGACTATGCATGCATCCCTGGCATCAATTGAGCCATAGAGGAAACCATGGTATGAATTTCACTTTATTGTAGGGTGCACAATACTGTCACACCCTTTTATGAAGTTGACAAGTATGAAATGGAGGATATAAACATTTTCAGTACATACTGTGAATGAAATACAAGTTATTTTTTATACGAGCACATTTAGCAAGAAGGCAAAAAAGGGAAGGTGCATCTGTACTTTGGAAGCATAGTAAAGAAATAGTGGATTAAGACGTATCGAAGGTAGGCCAGGCCTATAAGAACCAACATTGTATGTGGCTTCAAGGCACACATGTGCAGTTCCAGGTAATGCACCGAGGGTCTAAGGTGTTAAAGTGTGAATGCAGAAAATGAGAAATAGGCTAATGAGTCTGTTGATGTAAACAAATTGGCAGATCCCACAAACAGTGCGAATCGATGATATGCGAAGCACGAATTAGGAAGGTTGATATGTTGCTTAAATTCAGAAAAACGTTACAAAGTGGACGTAAATTATATCGAACCCGACTTCCATGTCACGATTATTATGTTTGGACATGTCATTTACCTTCATCGTCTATTCACGTCCTGTGATACCAAATTTGGTATATGTGGAGCTAGCGAAACGGCCGCGAGCGCGCTATGAGCGTAGCATAAAGAGATGTTTTACATGACATTCATATTATGATTACTATGTTTGCATGTGTCATTTCCCTTCATTGTCCATTCACGTCACACAATTACCAAATTTGTTTTATGTGAAGCTAGCGAAACGACCACAAATGCATCATGAGCACGGTATAATGTCATGTTTATCATGTTTGCACCAGTCATATACCTTCATCATCTATTAATGTTTCGTAACACCAAATTTGGTGTATATGAAGCTAGCAAAACGACCAAAGAGCACTATGAGCGTAGCATGTAGTTGTGCTTTACATGGCATGCATGTCATGATTTCCTCGTTAGGGTCAGTCGCTTATGTTCGCCGTGCAGTCATGTCATACCATACCGGTTTTGCAATATGTCATGTGAACGAAACCAGTGCAAGAGCAGCAAGACCATGGAATGTAAATCAAGACATTCATGAAATACATGTAATGATTTTCATGTTACGACTAGTCACTTATGCTCATCATACAGTCATGTTACGCCATACCAATTTCGGTATTGATACTATATTATCGAAACGCCCAGGAGAGCTAAGAGTCCTAGGCGGCTAAATAGATAGATACGGTCAAAGTCGCAGAAGTTTGCAAAGAAATGCTTTGTATTTAATAAACTAAAAGAGTGAAGCGGCAAAGCAATAAGGTAATGAGTGGAGCACAATTTATGGTCTTGCTCTTAGTTTTTCAAGCAGTAAAGGAAGGGCAGGATTGGAAACAGCTAGACATGATTGTGGTTTACCAAGCCCAGTGCTATTCATGTGCACCGGGAACTCTTCAAGGAGAGGACAACGATAAATCTATTTCAGAAAAGATGCATCAGCTTTTTAGTGAATGACAATGCACCCGCTGCTGCTATCTGTAGGTATGTAAAGAACAATGAAATTAAAGCACATCCTTCACTTGTAGGTCAATGCATGTGACAACACAGCTTTCAAAAGTGAATCGTTATTATACATTAATTTCATATATTCAGTATTCTCAAGAAAAGCATAGTGAGAAGTAGAAATGAACTGAGCATGCAGCACTAAGACTTGGTGGGCATTCTTCCGTAGTATGCCACATTAAGTTGTAAAACTGAAAACACTGGAGTGTATGTCTTTTTTCTTAGTGCTGTTGTTGTAGCAAGCTGCTGCTTAAAAAACAGTCATCTGCCAGTTGTATGTCTGGTATATATATGTGTAGGTGGGGAGGGGGAGATGGGATCGTGAGCAACAGCGGATGCAGACAAGGGGACTATTTTCACAAGATGTTTTAGTTGGTTCTAAGATAGGAGTCTGCACATACAACTTGGCCTGGTCATACAATGCTGAAAAAATAACTTCATTGAAGAAAATGAGAAATCAAGTGTTTAGTTACATCATGCTCATAACAAAAATTTTCCACCGTGCAGCGTTCCATTGACTAAGGAGAAATTGACTTCTATGGTCTATCTATCTAGCCGCCTACGTCTGATCGCTCTCGTGATCACACTCCTAGCTTTGGGTAAACCAAATTAGTATGGGAGGGTAAGAACGTTTGACGAATACAATTGCCTGTCAGGTCATGAATAATGCCACAATCTCGTTGCGTATGTTGTCAAACCCTTTCTTCCAGATGAGTGGCACACATCTGGCAGGTATGCGGTTATGTGCCCCAGGTGATTAACTGTTTGTCTACTCAAGAATGGCAAGATATAATATTGGTAATTTTAACACGACAACATTCAGGAAAAGTCAGCGTTCACCTTATAAATGTAGTGAATATATATCAGGGCCGTAGCAGAAATGAAAACCAAACATTCTGCGTAGCAATCAAGTCTTTTACCACAGAGCCACACCAGGTCTCGACACTGCTGTGGAAATAGACACCACTCAGGCACAATGTCCATTGCAATTGCAATGCTAACTATAAAATTTTATAAAAATTACAGATGCACTCCTATGATGCAGCTGTCACGACCAGTTCATGTCAATTGTAATTAAGCGCCATACACTTTAGTAGATTTATGTAGCAGTGTTCGGGGCTACCATCCTTGAGAGCACAAGCGCTATATATCAGCTTACCACGTCTGATGTTGCTAGCACTCATGTTGCTGCTAACATCATTGTGCAAATGTAAACAACTGGTTATATAAAACATATCTGACTGTTGAACATACATCTGTGCGTACAACATTCGTCCGTTTTGCTAAATACACCACAGTCATCTTCCTTCAATGATACACGCAAGTCTCAAATGGTAAATTATGTTGTACAACATTTTTATACATTGACGGAAGTCACCACTTTTTCGGTGCTTTATTTGTGGTTCTCCTACATGAAGTTTTTTTCCCCCCTAGAAGTTCGCTAACTTTCCAATTACAGAAAAAAGAAAACAGGTGGCTATCTGTTTTTTTAATCTTCAAAAGCGATTGATACTAGTTTGTTATTTGCTTAAAAGGGTGCCATTTCACGCCGGAAAATGAGGCACGCGTGGGCAGGAAAACCTACGGGGTGCAAACCACACGTACTACATACATACCCAGGCGTCGAACACTTGTTTATGTACAACTATCGATCGTGCAGCTGTATGAGCCTTGAGTAGTGCCATACAGGCTCTTTCAATCTGATTCGTGTTTCTCAACCATGAACGACTCGCTTCTGCATTTGTGCACGATCGTGCAAATTACATAGTGCAACACTTGCATGGTTTAACCGACAAAGAAAATCGGCCTCGTTGACCGATAAAACGGCAGTAATGCCACTCATTAATTGATACATTCGATGAGCAAGCGGCAAAACAGTGAAAGCAAGTTGCCGATCAAGCACAGCGAAAAACGTACTCAAATATTAGTAATCACAAAAATAACGCTCAAGCACGCAGTGACAGTGCAAGTAAGGTCTCTAGTGCAAGGGACTATAGTGCAAGTTCAAGCGCTGCAAACACCATCCGCGTCCGTCAAGCACATGGGCAACGATAAGCACAATCGCAGTGCTCGTGTAAGGACACCGCAATCACCACACTCCCAGCGCAACACAAATGTGTACAGCTCGCGATCGCAGCAGGATCTAGTAACGTTGCACACGCCACACGCCGAGTGAACCTGAGGTTGCCTGACCACCTGTTACCCAAAAGCCACAGCACGCCACACGCTAGAAAAATATGCCCAGAGAACCAGATTACAGTGTACTAATTAGATTTAACGCCGCAGAGAACCTCAGGTTGCCTGACCACCGTTCTCCAAAAGCCATAGCTTTGTACGGATCCAAGCCAAGTTGGGTGAAAATAGCGAGCAGTCAGTCACTGCTCGCTATTTGGTAGGTGTTCTGAACTGGTAGGTGTTCTGTGTCACTGCCGGCGGAGTACGCGGCACTGGCGGCATATCTCGGTGGTGTTGCACTGCATCGTGCGACGCGGCACTCCGCTCTTGTGGAAGTGTCACAAAGTTATCCTTTCGCGGCATTCCGGAATTTTGGCGTTTCTGCTGCATTTCGCGCGCCAACTGCTCTGCTTGAAAACATCGTGACGGTGACGCCTTATTTCGTCGCAAGCAAGCTTTCAACGATGGGCGACCGTGCGATTGTGGTGAAGTACTTTCGTATTGCGGGTGTTGTTAGCGCGTACTGGCTAATTTCAATATCCCTTGTTTTCATCAACAACACTCTTCTGTCAGACAAGAAGAGGAAGCTTGATGCTCCGCTGTTTATCACGTTCTTTCAGTGCTTCGTGTCCTATGCCCTGTGCGTAGTACTAAGCTTTCTCAGCGAGAAACTTCCAAGTTTGTTTCATTTCCCCAAAGTTAACCACGACTTCAACACATTGAAAATGCTAATGCCGCTTTCTGCCTTTTTCGTCGCCATGGTCACATTCAACAATCTCTGCCTGAAGCACGTCGGCGTCGCCTTTTACACCGTCAGCCGTTCACTCACGACCGTCTTCAACGTGATCTTCACGTACGTCGTGCTGCGCCAGACCACATCAGTGCCTGCCGTTGCGTGCTGCGGCATCATTGTGGCGGGCTTTCTTCTGGGAGTAAACCAGGAAGGCCACATGGGATCTTTGTCTGTATTTGGTGTGACCTGTGGCGTGCTCGCCAGTGCAACTTTGTCGATGTACAGCATCTACACGAAGAAGATGTTGCCGGCAGTTGGGGATAGTGTATCGCTGCTCACCTTCTATAATAATGTTAATGCCCTGGTGCTCTTCTTTCCTTTAGTCATACTTTTTGGTGAGGTGCCTGTCATCTACAGGTTTCCATTTTTGTCAGACCCTGTGTTCTGGAGTCTTATGTTTGTCAGTGGAGTCTTTGGTTTTCTTATTGGCTATGTGACAATGCTGCAAATTCAGGTTACATCACCACTTACGCACAATGTTAGCGGTACAGCAAAAGCTTGCACTCAGACTGTGCTTGCAGTAGTCTGGTTTTCCGAAGTGAAGTCGGTTCTGTGGTGGATCAGCAATGGGTTGGTACTTCTAGGCTCAGCGGCATACACACGTGTGCGCCAGCTCGAAATGCTGAAACACCACATGAACACTGCCAAGCCCGAGGGCAAAGGTGGCAGCAAAGACACCGTCATGAATGTTTAAAGTCTGTTGCTCTACTTTTGCTAGCATCAGTTAGTGAACCTTGTAGTTCATTTAAAATCGCACAGTTCTGTTAGTGATGCAGTGGTGTCTGTCATATGATTTGGTGTGGCATATTGTGGACAGTGAGAATGCAAAAGAGCTTTAGGGTAGTACAATAGTGTGAATGAAAGTTGTATTTACGCCAGGCAATGTGTTGAGTATTCTGTAACTTGATTGAATATGTTTTTTCATCATGGAACTTTTTATGTTCATTCATAATATATACTATGATTTTAAGTGTGTACTTACTGTATTTTGTACACCTCAGCACGCACATTTGGTGCATGTGGGATCTTTTTCGGATTATGCTTAAAGGCGGTGTGTGTATCATCTGACATGGTCTGGAGCGAATCCTGTGAAAATATTTCCTTGTGATAAATCAAGAGTGATGAAGCATATGTATTTTACATCGTTCTTGTAAGACTAAATTGCTTTTTTCATTTTTCATTTGTAAAGTATTGTTACTAAATACTGTGCTCACAGTATTGAGCACTGTGAATACCATACAGCGCAGTAAATACTGTGCTCACAAAATAACAACTAATCGGAAGCTAAGATTATAAAGGCGTACTGACACAAAATTTCATGGCAAAGATAGACTGTAGGATCAATTCCCATGAACATGTGTATATCATCTGCAAAATATCAACAGCGAGTAGAGCTTAAAAGGTATTATACATCACTTTTAAAGTTAGCATGCATGTGGTCTTCACACCCTCGAAAGTGACCCGACGTGCCCCCCTACTTCCCTCGCATCACCACGCTGAAATCAATGCAACAATTTGTGATGAACTCATAACCACCATTTTTTTCTTTTCTCGCATTTTCTCCAGCAGACTACTTCGTGACAGCTGCTCGCGAGTCCATAGTTGCGGTGCACACGTTGAAAGTTTTGTGTTTCGTGACACTACTGTCCCGTTTTCTGCTTAAAAAGACTTCCTTTCAAACAGTGTGTCACAGTTCTGTCAGCTGACTTGGTCGAGCGTTTTGCTCACTAATTGGTGATAGGTGCACCCGGCATTTTGTCGTTCTTGGAGCTCTCTTAAGCCGAAACTGAGACTGGTCTGTAATGGGGAGCCTGTAATCATCTGTCATGTGCTGCAGGAAATGATGTGTCGTGTAAACAGGCCCCCAGCAACACATTGCAGTCGAAACAAGCCAACATTTTTGTGTCGGTACCCCTTTAGGCCCTCAACAACACATTGCAGTCGAAAAGAGACCAATATTTTTGTGTCAGTATTCCTTCAAGCTCATTTAAATAATTTTTTAAGGAATTAGTATTACTCAATAGGTGAATTGGAGGGAAGTGGAGTTGAAGCCCTTTTGACAGGTTACGCTTGCAGATCCGCATTCATCTCAAATAGTATATAGTTCTATTGTGTGTTGTCCCCAAAGTTCATTAGTTTAACTTCTCTGGCACAACCCTATGATTTTTGAAGCCTTTCAGGAATACTATGATTTCAGGAGTCTAAGATTTCCCACAACAGTTTAGAGTTATGTTCGTAGTTTTTGCTAAATTCCCGTGGATGTATAGAGCCATTTGTGTGCTGCTTTATTCTGAGTTCTGCAACTCCAGCCATATAAGCTTAAGTGGAACTGTGAGTCAGATTGTGTCATTTTAGCAACTTAGCCAATTTTTGCTGCTCATGAATGAGTATATTTTTGCTTATTACCTACTAAAACACACACCCTTCTCCTTTTTTCTTAACCAAAGTCTGCACATGAAGCAAGCACACTTGGTAAATGCAGGAAAAGGAAATAAACTTCAGTATATACTGAATCGAAGAAAAGAAAGGACTGCTTGTTGACGGATACATTGTTCCTAATTATAAATTTATAAAATATATTTATGAAGTATAAAACGGGGACCAATTGGGGTTACAAGATTAAACAAAGCATTAACCCTTTCAGGGTCAAAGACGTACATATACATCATTCCCTGTCATTTATAATGCGTGCCTTTTTCGGTCATTCCTTATGCTTGGCATAGGCTGCCACATTGCAGGAATATGGGAAGTTATTTCCTTGCGCGAATATCTTCCTTAATTTTTTTTTATCATTTACTACAGCGCTGTGCTGGCTAGTTTTGGTTTCATTCTTAGGCCTGTTCCTGCTTGTTGTGCCTGCAAGACTGATGGCTCACCGGTTTAGAATCTTTTTAAAAGGTGACCTTTTTGTTACTCTCTCGTTTGTTGCTTCTAGGTAAGTGATCACACTTGTCTTTGTGCTGGCGCTGACCGACACAAACAATGCTGCTGTAGTTGCATTTTTTGTTTCGGGGACCCACAAAAACGGCTCTGGTCTTGTTGGCGATAAGACGGAGTATTATAGGTTTTGAACTTTCGCTATGAAAGTGCGGACCAGTTTCTCTGCCGTTAGTGTGTCTAGTGGCGATTCGTCCGATCTGGCAGCGATTCCACGGTTGTCGCTTGGCTGCGAAATCGATTCAGTAAATGTCAACCCGTCATAATAAAGTTACTTGTAAGTTAAGACTTGGATGATGAGTTGGTAAAATCTGAAAAGCGCATGTAACGAGGCTAGATTAAAAGTGGCTTTTCTCTCCCATGTTTCTACGTAACGCCACTTTGTGCACTCATTTTGGACTGCACACAAATGTTTATTTCCACGCATAGCTTCTTAACAGTCGTGTAGGTTTTTTTTAGAATTTATTTTACTGTTACAAATAAACAGTGTGTATGATTTTTTTGTCATTTTACAGTCACTCAAAATTTTGGTCAATTTCTACCCTAAATAGACTCATCTAAAAAATTCAACATGGCAGTTAAAAAAAGAGAATATACATTTCTGGCCTGCATTTTGCAAAAAAAAAAAAAAAAAAGACCCTCAAAGGGTTAACATGCCCTTTTTCAGCATGTGGGACCTGTTGTTTCTTTTTGCGCGGTGGTAATGCAACATGTGTGTTTACTTCAATGCAAATGCTTTGAAAAGATGGCCGCTACATAGTGTTTTTCTTTTAAGCAATACAGTTTTTATAAAAATTGTTTGATAGCCATGCTCCAGTCATTTTTGCCCACCAAATCTACCTTAAGGCTGAAATACTGTGCTGTAGCTAAAGTGAAGTGACTAATTAGTGAAAACTTCCAATTTAGTCCTTGATTTGAGGACAGTTGTTTATATGAGTAAAGCTGTAGTCTGGGACATTTTACGACATATCCATTTTTTAGAACTTTCTATAGTTGCACACAGTCAGAAATATTCATCATCCAATTTTCTCGCCGATACTGAAACTGACTGTGCTCACTGTACAGTAAATGTGGCCGCTATTTTACGTCAGACTGGGACTTCCAGTGACAAGAAAATGATTGCACTTGAATCGAGATGCGTCGAAGCAAAATGTGATCAGGAAAAATGGCAACTAGCTTCAAATACGAAAGTCAACCGTGTATTCTTTGCGTACATTATGTGGTGCTTCTGTATCTCAGACTCATCTCAAAACAGGAGACTGTATCTCAAAACAGGATCCTGCTTTAATGCACCTTCATTCAAATTCCGTCACTTCTTTGCCACCCAATGTTCCAGTCTTAAGTAACAGAGTGGCCACATTTCTTCCATGCTAGGCACATTCAGTTTTTATACATGCGTGAAAATCTGATGAATATCTCAAAGTGTGGGCAACATTTTCTCGAGTGCAAAAATGTAAAGAGCATGTCTGTCATAGGACTTGTCTAAGAAATATGAATTAAAAAAATTCTGTTTAACTCACACTTTTGCAAAATAACCTAATCTAGTCACCTATGTTTAGTTTGCATACGTGTAAGTGAAACAATTAAAGATCTATCTTGCCTTTTGCTTTTCTGTGTGGTGTCACCTTAATCCTGCATACTTAGTTTTGTTTTGCTTCTGGTTATTTTCACTGTAGAAACATTTAATTCCATCTCATAGTTCCATGGAATGCTGCCTCTCACAGCTTAATATTACAAGAGTATCCTTTTTGTTTTAAGTTGTTTATTTTAAACTCAAAAACAGACAGTGGATGGACATCTTGTCGAAATTATGATGGGTACTTGTGCAGTAACAAACTCAAATGTCTTCGTTCACAACCAGCCCCGCCGCGGTGGTCTAGTGGCTAAGGTACTCGGCTGCTGACCCGCAGGTCGCGGGATCAAATCCCGGCTGCGGCGACTGCATTTTTGATGGAGGCGTAAATGTTGTAGGCCAGTGTACTCAGATTTGCGTGCACGTTAAAGAACCCCAGGTGGTCGAAATTTTTGAAGCCCTCCACTACGGCATCTCTCATAATCATATGGTGGTTTTGGGATGTTAAACCCCACATATCAATCAAATCGTTCACAACCAGTGTACTTGTGCCTAACCTTAAGCATTGATCTCCATATTGTTCGAGCCGCCTCACACGCTCACAGAAGCGCACGCAGCTTGACATCGAATTAGAAAGGCTTCGGGCGTTACGTAGACGTGCTGAGAGAAGATACAGGCGTACCAAGTCGATTATTGATCTCAGAGTAGCAAGGCGTATGCAGAAAAAAATACAATGCCGAAAAGACAAACTGCAGGATCAAAGATGAAAAGCTTTTGTGAGTCATTAGACCCACACAAGCCATTGTCTCATGTATGGAGAACTCTACAGGGTGTTCGCTCAGGCTCCATGCAACGTCACCCCTTCAAGGCTCTCGCACTTCGTCTCAACCCCCATGAAATTGACGTTGCAAACGATTTTTGTGCGAACATCACCGGCGGGACAGTCCTATTCTCCAATGTGCTTTTATGCGATATCCCCTGTCCTCGAGATATAAGTATGGATGCTCAATTTTCTAAGGAAGAGCTAGAAGTTGCACTCACACTGTGTAGGTGTTCTTCTTCACCAGGGCCCGATAAGATAACGTGTTCGGCTCTGCGTCACTTAGGCCAAGCAGCTAGACGAAAACTGCTAAATTTATTTAATCGGTCATGGGAAGATGGCATTGTACCTCAATAATGGAAACGGAGCCGTCTTATGCCACCTCTAAAAGCAGGGAAATCCCCTCTGGTGCTGACATCATACCGGCCTGTAGCTCTCGCCAGCTGCGTTGGGAAACTCATGAAGCGCATGATTCTCACGCGCCTGGAATCGTTCCTTAAATGGCACAACATTTACCCCGACTCCATGGTGAGATTTCGACGAGGCCGTTCATCGATTGACAACGTCATCGATTTGGTGTCATCAGTAGAACAGCAGAAATTTAGGAAACGACTAGCACTTGCGCTCTTTCTAGATTTGAAAGGTGCATATGACGTTTCCCATCAAGCTATGCTAGACACACTGCCATTAATTAAACTGAGAGGGTGAATATTTTAATAGATCCGGAGCTACCTGACACGAAGATCCGTTTTTGTATATACTGAAGATGGCCCGACCTCGGACCACTACACGTGCCGTGGAATCCCGCAAGGTGGTGTTTTAAGCCCAGTTCTTTCCAATCTTGCTTTGCTTGGCCTGGTTGAAGCTCTCCCGGAAACAGTCAGTGTTTCAATATATGCTGATGACATCTGTGTCTGGGCATCTGCATTGACACGTCTACAAGTTCGAGCAAGGATACAGAGGGCAGCGTCGCAAGCATCTATCTTCGCACGCAAGGTCTAACAATCTCAACAGAAAAATGTGCACTGGTGGCCTTCACGCACAAGGCGATGACAAGTTACCCGATAAGCATTAATGGCTAGCCCATCTCTTATAAGGCTAGCCATCGTTTTCTAGGTGTCATTGTTGACTGCGACCTCTCCTGGAGCCCTCACGTGACTAGCCTCAAAATAAAACTGGTATCGATTGCCCACGTCCTGAAAGCCATCGCTGGAAAAAAATGGGGTCCGTCGTTCAGTTTTATGCTACAGCGTTACCAGGCACTTTTTATTGGTGTACTGCGCTACAGTTCTCCGCTGCTTACTAAAACTTGCAAGACAAACATTCGAGCACTTCAGAGTGTGCAAGCACAGGCACTACGTGTTTGTCTCGGCCTACCACGAACTGCCTCAACCGCTGGAACAGTTATATTGGCTTGGGATCATCTCGTTACGACCTATGTCACAACCGACGTGCTCAGAGCACATATTCGACACATTTCATGGATGGTATCGAATCATTTGACATTTCTGCCAGAACAACGACCGCAGGTGTCGTTCTTTAAGGTCTCGTCAGCTCCCACCGTGCTTTGCTACCATCAGGTTTTATACCCTTGGCACGTTCACCGTTCACCTCGTGGAGCCTACGATAACTTGATGTGCGCTTTGCCGTCCCAGAAATAAGAAATAGAAAAGTCCTTTCTTTTTTGGCCTTGAAGCAAGCGACTCTGGACTGTTTACACACTTTCTACGCTGACAGAATCCACGTATACACGGATGGATCTACCACCCAGACTAGCTCCACCGGCGCCACCGTCATTTCATCGCGACACATCAACATCACTTACAAACTTTGTCACGTGAGCACATCGACTGGTTCGGAAATTGATGCCCTGCGAGGTGCCATCGATTATATCAAGCAACAAGCGGCTAATCGATGGGCAGCATTCTGCGACTCCAAGGCGGCTCTACAATGTCTTTTGTCGGCACTTCGTCGTGGGTCGTATGAACAACTGGTATGGAAGATCAGAGAAATGCTGCACTATGCGACCAAGGACACAACGCTGTGTTCCAGTGGATACCAAGTCATTGCGGTATCTTCGGCAACGACCTCGCCGATGAAGCAACCAGAGATGCTCATGTGCTAACAAACCCTGTGTCAGTACCTTTATCTAGGATTGACTCGGCTAGATACCTAAGTAAGCTGGCGCAGGACATGACTCTCCAGAAATGGCAGTCATCACAGTTCGCACATCATCGACTATATTCTCTCGATCCATCTCTACGACTGCGGCTACCATCTGGTCTTTCTAGGGAGGAAGGTAGAGTGTTGTGCCGTCTGCGTCTAGGCGTAGCCTTCACCAATGCCTACTCATTTAAGATAGGGATGGCCGACAGCGCGGAGTGCAACGACTACGCCGTCGATGAGACTATTGAACACATCTCATGTTACTGCCCGGCATACACAAACGAGAGGCTTCAGCTGCGCAGTGTTTTAAATCAACTGGACAGAAGTGATTTCACTGTTGAGAAAGTATTGGGACCATGGCACTGCCCATCCAATTTCCGAAAGGCAACGAAAACACTGTTGCATTTTCTCAAAGACACTGGCCTGTTTCATCATTTGTGATGGTGAAACTGTTATGCGTCGGCCCAGTCAGTGACCTTTTCTCTACTCCTCTATAACTTTCCTTCCCCTCTCCCCTTCCCCAGTGCAGGGTAGCCTACCGGGCTCAGCCCTGGTTAACCTCCCTGGCTTTCTCCTTGTTCTCTCTCTCTCTCTCTCTCTCCATATTGTTGCTTGAAAAAATGCAGGCACAATATTATATACAAAACTTCAGTTTTCAGTAGTTCAATAGTTTCTGAACTCAATTATTTTGTCCCTGCACCATTCTCAAATAGTGAGTATCAATATTATTATTTCTGCTTGTGTGCCTTTTCCTCATACTTGTGTTCACCCGCAATGGGAATTAGGAAAGAACTTAGTGGTTTATTGCATGATTTATGGGTTGTGGTCACATGAAGATAAATTATAGGGTTATGAGGATATACTAAAAGATACATGAAGATATATTAAGGCAGTCATGAAGACATATGAAGATATACTTAAAACACAATTATAGTGCAACCTTTCAAAAAGAACAGCAGGAAATTATTTACCTTTTGTTCGTCCTAGTCAGTTCAGCATTTTTCACTTCACTGATAATACCTAGAAACGGTTAGGCATTACCTAGGAACGGTAATTTATTTGTTTTGTTGGAAACCTCATAAATGGAGTTTTGTTACATCAAGTTTCAGGTGTATTTGTGAACCTGTAGATGAAAAGGAGGTCAGATAATGACTAACATTGTTATTGTACGTCTCCAAAAACAGCCCTCTAACATAATTGACGAATGGACATGGTGCATAATTTCTAGTACTCTACTGTTCTCACATGTGTATATATATTTACAGGCAGATCCACTGCACTGGCTTAACCCTTTCTGAGGAGGAGGAATAAACTTTATTATAAGAAACCAGCAAGTTAAAGTAGCCGGGAGCAGGCCTTCCATGAGGGGACGTCAAGGGCTTTTTCCACCGCATTATGGCCCGAAAGTGAATTACCCAAAGCTCAAGCACAAAAAGTTTACTTGCTATTTTACAGACTGTGCATAATGTAGTGACAAAACATGTGTAAGTATCAGCTGCAACAAAACTTATCCAGCAATGCTCTAGCATGTACTGCTTTGGCAGTGTCGCACTGGGCAGAGGCTGAAAACTTAACGTACCACAAAAGGTTAAAGATGACAGCCAGCATTGGCTCGCAGATATCCTGAGCTGCTCCAGGCAGCAGAAGCGGGCCCTCAGAACAGCTAAGAAAATGGTTGGATGTAGTGAAGTAGGCCTTGAAAATGTTGATGTTGAGGATTAGGATAGAAAGCAATATAGTGTTGTCGGGAGCACTTTTGTACATCATTAATATCAAGTTACAAAGGTCATGGTAGGTGCCCATATAAGAGGAGAGGAGCCCCTCCAAAAGCTCCACAAGTTTGAAGTTGGCTGTTAGGGGCACAAGTGTACTAGGTGAAAATCTTAACTCGTAAAGCATCGTAGGGATTCTGTTATGCATTTCTAATGCCAGCACTGAAGTATAGGTAACTTGGTGCACGTGATTGGCCACTGTGATGCCATCACGTGTATGCGAAGTTTTCTGTCTTCGTTCCAGCCGTTCAGTCTGGCGACACGTTCGAAACCGTC